AGAGAGAGAGAGAGAGAGAGAGAGAGAGAGAGAGAGAGAGAGAGAGAGAGAGAAAGAGCGAGAGAGACAACAAATATCGGCGAACGGAGCGTTTCATTTGCGGATGTACGACCGATGCGCGGCATCGCCAATTGGATCTTCGAGCGTTCGGCAATCGATTTTACCCGGCATCGAGAAACCGAGCGTATGTACACACACGCGTACCGACGCACGGTGTTCCCAACAAACGCGATTCGTTCTCGCTCGTGGACGGTTTCTTCTAGAAAAATCCCGTTCCCTCCCCCCCCCCCCCCCCCCCTCGAGTAACGCCGCGCGCGATCTCACGACGCTTTTCTACTCCGACGCTGTTTCGCCTGCGCGTTTAGTGACGATATTTTAGACGAGAGCGACGCGACGAACAAGACGGGAGGAAAATAATAAAAGACGGAGTAACTATGTAAACTCACCGCGCCCCCCCCCCTCCCCCGTTCCTCCTTACCTTACCTATTTTAATATCCCGTCTATAGATCCTTTTGTGTCGCGCACTACGTGGGGACAAGCTGTAAAACGCAATTACTTCTACGACTACATACTCGCTTTGACGCGGCACGCTTTGTGACGTGGAGAGAGGCACGTCGAGGGCATATCTTAATACTCTAAGTATTACAAGATTTCCAAATTATTAAACCACAGAGAACATCTCCCGCCTTCCTCTTATCTTACGAGAAGAGCTCTGTCGAGAGGAATGAAGCTTGAGCTCGAACACGCCCTTCGTGACCACCATTCCGACTAGAAATGTATCCCACGGTTCTGATCAAGAGTAACCTCATGTGGACGTCAGGTCCCAATAAGATAATACTATTGGGTCCTAGTAAGTAACCGTGTAACCGCAGCGTGGATATCAGGACCTTGGTAAGAATTCATAGTCAGGTCCTTATTGAGTTACCTTATGGAATCCTTATTACGTGTTTTCTTTTCTAAATTATGGCTCCTGATTACTAGCCACGGCTATATTGGATGATGACATTAGAAATAAGAAATGACACGCTGAAACATTCTTTCATGTCATTTCCAAATAAAAAGATATTTGCATGAAATAATATTTTAGATCGCTTGAGCATACTTGCAAAATATTTCGGAGAAGAAACATAAAATGAGTAACATAAGGTCATAAAGTGTCACAAGGTGACAAGACATAAAGTAGTGTTAAGGAGAAAAGTTGCATGTCACGTTAATTTTACAACTATTTATTGACTGCTAAAAAAAGGATAGTTTCTATAGTATTTTACAATACATATTCAAGTGATCTGAAGTGTTTTTCCAATGCAAACATCTTTATATTTGGCAATGACACCCGAAAATTGTTCTGTTAAAACTTGATAATGCAAATCATATTAGGTACAATGAATAAGATCCCGACAAGGACCTGATTAACTGAACCATATTATAAGTTGGGGTACATTAAGATCCTAATGTGGACCCAATCATTATAACCTTATAAAGGTCTTCCTTACTCATTTGTCGTTAGGACATTATAAGGACTGACTTATTTAGGATTACCTTTCATTCACCCCATTAGGTCCTTATCAATGTTAGATGAAACTGATCAAAATTTCTAGTCGGGATGTTAAATCCCGCCGCGCCGAGTGCGGCGGCGCGCGGAGGAAGGGATCATCCCCATTACCGCTTTTCAAGCGAACCGCGAGCTCGCCGTTGTCGTCGTCGTCGACGTGAAAAAACGACAGATGCCATCAGCGCAACTCCGAGGAAGGACACTCCGCGTTTACACTTTTCATTCACGACTGTCTCGATGCCCGCTCTAATTGCGCCGCTATTAAAACGCTCGACGCGCCCTGACGTGCAGATAGATCTTGCTGATGGTCGTCGCGCGACCTGTCACGGGTCACGAGGAGGGGGGGGGGGTGAGGGTGGTAGGGTAGAGCAGTTGGTAATTGAAAAATCGTTTGACGACGTTTACGCCGTACAGGAAAAGTCCGATCATACAGCCGCGTGGCTCGTATCGAATCGTGGGACGTAACCGAGTTTGCGGGCGACTGCTCGTTCGGCCGTAAAAGAATCGCATCGTCGCTCTCTGAGCAAGAACTACGGTGAAACTGCACGTTGTTGAAAACGACGACACGGGACGAGAAAGTGTAGACGTCGCCAGCGGGGAGAATCCGCGAATCTGAGCTCGCTCGCTCGCGTAAAATATTTCAATTTATTCCGGGCTCGAGAGATCGCGACGATGCGCGCGCGCTCGAGGGCGTCGTGTCGCGTGTGTGCATGTGTGAACAAAGTCGCGTAATAATAAAGCGTCACGCTCAAAGCTGTAATAAAAATGAAGCCCAACTACTCCCATCGCGCAACGCGCGCGCATGCGGGTTTAGCTACACGTATCATACACGCGATCGCAATAATGCGCGCGGCGCCGCGCTAAAAGGATCGTGCCGGCGGAAACGCGGAAATGCGCAGCGCGCAAAAGAGAAAGGACGAATAGATGGATGGACGAGCGTTGCGGGATTCTGCTCTCTCCGCGGCAGAAAGTAATTACCGAGCCTCGCGCTCGGAGCAACGAGGCCGGGGTGCAACGGCGAGAATGCGCGCGACGACGAATGGGGCGATCGTCGCGAATTTTTCTCGCGCGGATT